CCCCCCCCCCCCACACACACACACACACACACACACACACACACACACACACACACACACACACTCCAAAGAAGTGAAGACCCAGAAGGGAAAGGAGCTTGTCCACAGGCCTCAGGGACAAGGCTCTGCTCTCAGGGCCACTCTGACACAACAGATGTGACTACAAGAGGAAGGCCCACAGTTCTCATGGAGATTTCCCTTTTTTTTTTCTTTTTCTTTTTTTTTTTTTTTGCGGAGTCTTTGGTCCCCTGGGGATAGCCTTGAACTTCTAACTTTGGTTCCTCTGTCTCCAGAGTGCTGGGATTATAGGCATTCATGACAATGCCTGAATTATGCAGTGCTGATGATGGAACCAGGGCCTCATGCATGGTAGGCAAACCCTCTACCAACTGAGCCACATCTTACGTCTGACCCTTGACAATTGTATGGCCTCGATGCTAATACACTGAAATTTGACAGAATTGTCAAATCTACTTTCTCTTTGACACGTGCAACTAACTGGTGTCAAAGGTCAGCTCACAACAGACCATTGTCAAAGGGCAAGAAGAAAATTAAAACAAAAACAAAAACAAAAACAAAAAAACAGTGTAAGAAAGGTAAAATAACCGGTCACTCTAGCTGAAATAGCTCAGTAAGAGAAGAAAGTTTGTTGACTGGCTATGAGGATTTTCTTGTCAAACCTGGTTTCTATATTATCTCCCTGGTCATCTCTCCCTGGCAGGGTATGTAACAGCACTCAAGACAGCATCCAAGGTGGTAATGACCTCTGTCACTGACTTAGGTAAATCATGCTGAGGTGCCTCATCAAGAATATTGGGACAGCCTTTGCATAGAGCAGATACTCAATAAATTTGAGTAGGACTAGGAATATGGTTCAGTTGACACATTGCTTGCCTAGCATGCATGAAGCCCCATGTTTGGCCCCCATCACTGTATAAAATAGGTATGCACATGCCTATAATCCCAGCACTCAGAAAGAGAGGCAAAAGGATCAGAATTTCAAAGCATCCAAAGTTACATAGTGATTTTAAGGCCATCTTGGGCGATATGAGACCCTGCCTCTAATAACAACAAACATTTAAATTACTAAAGATCAAATCTCTACTTCACCATTCCAATGTGACTTGGAATAGTAATGTGACTTGTTTGAGCCTCAAATTCAAACTGGAGATATGAAGTTACTGGAGATACTAAGATACTAAATCTTTTTAAAATCAAAAAATTTGGGGCTGGAGAGATGACTCAGAGGTTAAGAGCACTGGCTGTACTTTCGGAGGTCCTGAGTTCAATTCCCAGCACCCACATGGTGACCTACCACCATCTATAATAAGATCTGATGCCCTCTTCTGTCATGCAGGCATGCATGCATACAGAAGGATGGATGGATGGATGGATGGATGGATGGATGGATGGATGGATGGATGGATGATGGAATTCTGTCCCACTCTACCCCAAGGGTTTGGGTTCCTATCCCAGAGCTGGTTGTAAGCAGCAAGCCCCAGGGAAGGGACACAAAGAAATTCACTTACCTAGGCGCTTCATGAACTCATCATAATTCTTCTCACTCTCAATTTCAAATTTTCCACTGAAGGCCATAATGCTGGGAGAGAGCTGGCAGCAGAGAGCAGCAAGCTGAGGAAGAAGGTTGGTACTGAGGAGTCTGGAATCCCAGTTTATAAACACTCCCAACTGCCAAGGCTCAGCCCCAAAGTCACCCCACTCCTCGGTCCTGCCCCTAATCAGAAGGTGTTTTCTGTTTTATGATATGGGCAGGACACTGAGGGGCAGAGCCCCAAGGTTATTCACCCAGGGAAAACCACGTACAATCCCACTATGTCTCAGAAAGGTCAGGGCCGGGACTGCCATAGAGTGTGGTCATTCACCTCTCTGCTCATCACACCCTCCATTCATCCCTGCCGTGCCCTTTCCCCATGCTCTCCTCATCCTTCATTCACTTGCTCTATCCTTCATTCACCCGCTCTGTCCTTCATTTACCAAGAACTGGGCATTGAACTGTATGTGGCAACCCAGAACCATGAGGGATATGTCTTTCCCAGAGTGCACCCAGGCCAACCCAGACCCAAGGCATATATGTGCAGTGTGTAAGCTAGATGTGATCTGTGCCACTTTACACATGGAGGCCCCAGTCTTTGGGATGATAGCTGCCTGCTTTGCTTATTGGGTAGCTCCTTGTCCACACAAAACTAGCAATGTGAAGTGTCTACAAAGGCCATCATCAGCATCTTTATCGTCACTACTGTAAATTACAAAGTTTTGGCTGGCCATTGCGGCTCACACTCATAGCCATAATACTTGGGAGGCTGAGGCATGAGGATTGCCATAAGGCCAAGGACAGCATGGGCTACAGAGCAAGGTCCCATTTCAGAAACAAACCAAAAGCAAAGAAATTAAAACTATCCTTCTCTGGGGCCTCCTCTCTACAAACTCCCATCATTTCTGCTCAGCGCAGAATTGACCACAGTTGCTATCTCCCAAACCTGTGACTAAGTGGTTTCTCTTTCTTTCTGGCTCTCTGTCTCCCCCAGCCTCTCTCTCTGTTGAGTGTGTGTGCTCACATGTGCCGTGTGTGTGTGTGTGTGTGTGTGTGTGTGTGTGTGTGTGTGTGTGTGTGTGTGTGTGTGTGTGGAGAG